AGAGAGAGAGAGAGAGAGAGGGAGAGAGAAGAGAGAGAGAGAGAAAGAGAGCGAGCTTGCTTTCACAAGCAAAAGTTTTTAAAAATTTGCCCTATAGATCTAGTTCATTCTTAAGATAACTCACAGAGAGAACGGCAACTGCCATTGCTCTGAATTAGGCCTACATTTCCTGCTTTGTTTTCTTGCTGCATATTTGATATAAATCTGCTACATTTGTACATATTATTATTATGTAGGCCTACATGCGCATTCTGTACATTTCTACAGGCTACTAACAACAATATTTATTTATTTATTTATTTATTTATTTATTCGTTTATTCATTTATTTATTTATTCATTTATTTGATGGTGCAAATGAGAAGACATGGTCACTTTGGAAAAAATATAAGCATTATAATAAAGAATGATAAAAAAAGAGCACAACAAGAAACCCAGCCCATAGAAAAAGACAAACTGTTCTGTCACCCCAGTCTGACCGAAGGATAATAATATTATAATTATAATAGAGCGTTTACAAAGAAATTCTGCTCCACTGAAACTGCATTGCTTATAATAGGGCAACAAAAGACTGTGCATCACGTGTTGTGAGAGACCAAGCCCGATAGGCGACCATTCGCAATGAAAGAAATACGTGTAGATCTACCGGTACCTTATAACCTAATAATTTGCTGTAGTAGCAGGTAAGTGGGACTGAAGACCTTAAACAGCTTTTATTTTCAGTAGACCTAAGCTACCACACTGACGGGAATATATTTTTAAAAAGCTTTAATAAGCAAAGACAACCGGAAGGAAGAATGCACGATTTTTCCAGTGAAATTTAAGTCGTCACTGCTTTGAGAAGCAAGTTGATAGACTAGATCTACAAAATAGCAACAAAATAAGGTTACTGTGTTGTTAACATCGCAAAAAGCACTTTCATGAAACTGTAACTTGGAATGCTTTACGCCATACATTTTCTTTTCTACTTTTCAGCAGTTCTTTAACATACCAAGATGGGATTTTTTAAAAACTAAATAAATAAATAATTAAATAATTGAATAGATACATTTAAAAAATAAAAAAAGAAAGAAAGCAAGAAAGAAAAAAAGTAAGAAAGAAAGAAAGAAGGGAGGGTACCAGTTGACCCAGGGTTTTTGTTTTTTAAAAGCATGGTCTCCCTTGACGTTGGCCTAGCGACGCTCGCCGCCATTACTTGGTAACTGGATGTTGCTACATAGACGCCATATTGACAGAGGTAAACAAGGCGAGCGGAGTGGGTAGAACTGAGGGGACAAGATGTTTTCCAACGACGAACCCACCATTTACAATCTTCTGACTGTAGAAGAAACAAAGGAAAAGAAACCCAAAGCGTAAGTTTATGTTTAAATACTGCACATTTTCTAGTTAAACTAAAATTAATAGAGATAAAAAAATATTCTTCCCAAGCAAGGCAGTCCTGGTCAATGGTGAGCTGTGGCCAGCTTATACCGATATATTGATCGAAATAAAACGACTGATATCGTTAATATACAGCAACTAAAGTCAGTAGCCTTGTGAATCCCTGAGTAAGAAAGTTTCTTTCTTTGCTTAAGTGGTTGTAAATGCTGATTAGTCTCGAACATTAAAAATATTCTTTATTTTCTGAAGAATGAAGAATGCCTAGCCCTCTACTCTTGGTGGTAAAACTTGAGAATGATCAATCTTGCAACAAAACGCTAACTTTTTTTTAGAACACTTAATTACAGTTAGATCTATGTTCTTTTTTCCTCAACTGTTTCTATTTCATGGATGGATTGTTGGTAATCAAATCAGTAGCTTTAAAAGAATGCTTTACGCAATGGTCTTAGTCTTCTCCTCTTTGTTTTCTTATATTCACTTGTTTTCCCTCTTGGTGTAAGCCTTGGTGGGTGATTGGAGGATGCCAATGGTAGTTCCTACTTCTGATCATTCTCCTCCTGTTGTTTCTGTCAGTTCATCTTGCTTTTTTCCTTGCTCAACGGGACCACTATCACATGGATGTGTGCTTCTGTTCACTGAGACCAATTAGCCTCAAATTTACCTTTTATTCGGATATGTTTATTGGCGATTGTTAAGATTACCGCGTTTAATTCCGATGTGCGTTTTTCATACCCTCAGGCATATTTTGCTTTGGTCCCTAACCCTAACCCTGGCCCTAACCCAAACCCTAACCCTAACCCTAACCCAAGCCCTAACCCTAACCCTAACCTAGGGTTAGGGACCAAAGCGAAATATGCCTGAGGGTATGAAAAACGCACATCGGAATTAAACGCGGGAATCTTAACAATCGCCTGTTTATTTTTTCATGCTTTTTATAAACGTAATCTGTAGTTGTCACCATAGAACTTAAGACACTGACATATGTCCCTTGCCTTTCAGCTGGGGTGTTGTGAGATAAAGAGCTGTTTCCTCTTATGTAAACTCCGTACTGTAGGAGAAAGACTGTGAAGAATTGTAAAAGTTATATGCCTCCAAATCGGCAGTTGTGATCTTTTTAGGATCAGAGTCAACTTTAGCTGCGCTGTAGTGAATGGGACCTTAACAATTCAAGGGGGTTAAGAGTCTTGCGAATTGTTCTATACGGCATGTTAAGTTTTAATCCTGTTAGTGTCGATGTCCAGTTGAATTTGCCTTAAAAAACTCTTTAAACCCCATCGGATGCTGGGAGCGTCCAGCGGTAATAACCCTGTTTCGTTTCATTTAGTGCTAGTTTTTGCTTGTTTTTCGGATTTATCCCCGATCCAAGTTTTTTAGTAATCACTAAGCCTTTGTTTTCGCAATTTAGAAGTTGGAGGCAAGCTTTTGGGGTTAAAATGAGACAATAGTGCACCAGGTTTAGGTGACTGTAGGAAAAACTCCGGGAAACTGTGGAAAAAACTTATGGTTTAAAGAGTTAAGTTTCATTCTGTGGTGCTACAGCTGATTTAATCGGCTGTAATTTGATCTGTATATTTTGGTGTGTTTATCCCATTTTTTATTCTATACATTCGTCAAATATTTCAGCTACGTTACTTTACAAAAGAGTTCTTTTTCGTATTCACAATCTATTTTCTAAAAATGTACTCGCTTTTATGGTCTTACTTGCTTGGTTTACCTGTTTTCAAGTATTTTCCAACATGAAATGGTGTAATCGTTACATATTTTTCTGACATCAAAGGTTTTTGAATTAGGGACGCTTTGAGTGAGTGTTAAAAACATGGTCAAAGCCCCTCTCCCCAGAACACAATACTCTCATTTTTCCTGCCTGGAGCCTAGTAAGAACGTCTAACATGCTGATCCACTAAGAACGCAAAATCTAGTCAAGCAGATATTTCAGATATTTGTATGTTTATTTGTTTGTGGTTGACGGGTTCCCGTATGTTTACATAGTTTGCTCATTCTTTCCAATCAAACATCTATTGTCCTTTTCTCTCCTTCGTTTCTTTGTATATTAGTTTCTAGTAACACCTCTAATATTTGGCTCTTACCTATCTATCTGTGTAGCAAATGCCATAAACATTTTACTAAAATAAAAATGGAGATCCATATTTTACTTAATGTCTCCTCGTACCATTCATTTTCACAGGTACACTTCCAAATTCAGACAAAATGTTAAACAAGAATACACTTCTGGCCGAGGGGGCGCTAAAACAATGGGCCCAGCAAAAGTCACAGCACCACAACCCACAGACTACCTGAAGAAGCATGAAAAAGAGCCCCAGCTGCCCAAAAGTAAGTCATTTACATGAAAGTAAGAGTGTTAGCGTTTAAGTATTTTCGCTTTCTATGAGTTCTTGGCACCTGAGTTCTGTGAATTCAAACATCTACGTATGGAAATTAGATGTAAACCTTTTGTGTTTTCTGCTCATGACTGTGAGTACTGAGAGGGTACAATATTTTTTTTTCTTAGATTATCGTATAGATCTACATGACAATATGTCAACTATGAGCACAGCCTTTTAACTTCCTTTACTTTTATTTAGTTATTATAAGTAATTTCCATCTGATTTGAGCAGTGCTGAATGGTGTTTCAGGATGTGACATTATGTATACAGGTACTACAAACATACTGTTGCCTCATGAGCATGTAATTTTTGCTAAAAGGCATCTGGTGTATTGTGAGTATCTGACCGTTGAGATCCAGCCAGCCACAATTCTTTAAAAAAATAAATGTTCTAATGCTATAAAAACTTCGATAGCATACAAGGACAAATAATGAAAAAAATTATTCTAGTTTTGTTAGGTTTCTAAGTTTATAAATGTTTTCATGGATGCTCCTAAACAGAAAACAGGTTACATGTTGCTGAAGTCTTTTGTCAGAAAAAGGCCAAAATGGTTATTTGAATATTGAGGATGCAACTGTTTCTTTTCTCTATTAAAAAAGGGAGGGGGAAGGGGGGAGGGATTGATAGAGGGAAAGGACAGAGAGACAGAGACTCACTCACGGAAAAAGGACAAAAGTCCTCCAGAAAGGGAAATAATTGTATAAACTTGTTTTTGCATGCATTGTTGGAATGTCTTCTCTGACTGAGTGTGCAGAGTTCTTGGGTAAAGAAAAAACATTTAATGGAATTTCGCTTATGCATTTTAGCAGGATTGACAGATACTATGCTTTTAACCTTCTTCATCAGCTCAAGTAAAGTGTTGGTCTTTTCTTATGGGGTGTTGTTAGATTGTTAGACATCTTGATTTATGAGAACAACATTCATAATCTTGCAATTTCACAGAGTAAGTGTCTGTGTATGAGATGATATTGAGATGCTCTTCCTTTTATTAACGACATGTAAGTTTCATGTATTTTTCATAATTATTTGCAGAGGAAGAGTTCAAATACCCTGATGACAACCGCAAGAAGCCCTCTGTCCCTAAAAACAATGACACACCACTGATGGGACTGAAAACTACCAAGAACTTTATCAGCACGAACGCTGTTGAGAATATCACAGCTGTTCCAAAGCTTCCAGCCAAAAAGTTTGCGGACACAAGGAATGGCGACGTTCAGAACCTCATCCCGTCAGGATATGAACCAGTTTTCGTTCACAAGAAGGTTCGTTCAATACTTAACAGAACAAAGAAAATGAAGGGAAAAAATGACAAAGAATAACCCCTAAATAAAGGAGTGAAGGAAAATGTGAAAAAGAAGGAAGTATTAAAATACATTTTTAGACCTTTTGAAGGAATTTTAATATTCCGAGGGCTTGTATCTGCTGAATGAAATGCAGTAATATAGAAGAAGGGTTTGAAGTTCAGTCACGATGCTTATTCAACAAATACACTCTGGCTGGTCATTCTATTTTTTTAAATTTCCACTCTTTGTACTGCAGCTTTAAGGGCAATACAGAGATGCCAATCCTCCCGATTGTGGCAGGAGACTCCCGAAAAATGAGTCAGTATCCCGACCTCCTGGCCATCGCCCCAATCTCCCGATTTTCCTTATTTTATCCTAATTTTGCTGGATCTTTCTAAAAATCAAAGAAAATATGACCATAAAAGTAATGGAGCAGTCTTTCATCCATGCAGATAAAGGAGGCTAGCTGCGGAGTAGCTAATCTGTGAAGCAATGGTTCTGCGAAGCTAGGCCTGTAGTTGCTATACGAGATAGATCTATCACTATACTATACTATACTACTATAAGTAAGTATAGTGACTGACCATTTTGAAATCTCCCTATGTTTTTTCCATTTCTCCCGAAATTTTTGGGCTCATCTCCCGAAAATCTATCCTGGCGGGTTGGCATCTCTGGGAATAAGGCTGTCACTTATGCAAAAAATAGTTCAAGATGAGAAACAGACTCAAATGAATCTTTAACTCTTTAAACCCCATCGGACGCTGGGAACATCCGATACTAGTGACAACTGTGTCGTTTTATTTAGCACTATTTTTGTTTTGTTTTTCGGAAGTTTTCTCGAACCAAGTTTATTACTGATGACTAAGCCTTTGTTTCCACCATTTAGAAGTTGGAGGCAAGCTTTTGGGGTTATAATGAGACATAGTGCACCAGGTTTAGGTGACTGTAGAAAAAACTCAGGGAAACAATGAAAAAAACACTGGGTTTAAAGAGTGAAGAAAATAATAAAACTCCAAGCCTACTTTTACTTTTAGTCAAAACAAAAATGCCTGATCTCTGTTTTGTTCTTTCATTTTCTAGGATTTTGGTGAGGTCCCAATGTATTTGACCAAGCGCAAAGAGGAGGTTGCAAGGGCTCAAGAAGAGTATGACCAGTACATCTCGGAGCAGATTCGACGCACGGCTTTGCGACAGCTCACCTATGATGAGAGGCAAGCCATCATCGATGGACTCAAAGCCAACTGGGAAGACATTCAGGATCAGTACCAAGGGCTGTCTGTTGTTACAGATACAGCACCAAAGAAGAACAGGAAGGAGAGAATGGAAGCTCAAATGAAGCAGTTAGAGAGGGATATTGAATTGTTTGAAAAGCACAAAGTAATCTATATTGGTAACTAAAGAGACCCTGATGATACTATGAATGTTGTTTCTATTTCAGAATATTTGTATAAAGAAAATATTTGTAGTGGCAATATTCACATTTGGCTACAATTCTCACATTTAAAAAAAACCAGTTGAGACTAATGTATTTGTGATTTTCAAGTAGCGTGATACATCTTTCAAAGATAAATTTTGTCCATGTGAAAAATGGGTACTGAGTAGGCCACACTGCGATATTTATAATTTTGTTTGCATTACACATTTTGTCATGTTTAAGAGTCAAATTCTTTTCAGATTAAAAAAAACGACAACATATTTTTTGTACTGAATTCACATTGATTTTAGTTGTATCTGCTTGAAGAGCTATAAATATTTATTACAAGATTTTGTTGTTAGGTTTGATAGTCGAGATGTTCACGCTTACCCTTACTCTGTCTTTATGGGTAAAGCAGTTTTCTTGAACATGTTTTTATGCATACATATTTGAAATTTCTTTGCTTCTGGCAATATAATACACACAAATAAAAGTAAGAAATATATCGACTTTTTGTATCTTCCTATCACTTTCAAATATGTACAACACTTGTCTGCATAGCCTGCGGTACTAACAGGGGATTTCAATGAATTGAAATATCCAAGGTGTAGAGTCACAGGATGCTCTGGCTATTTTAGAGATCCCTTTACTTATGGTTTGCTTGACATTTTTAAGAGATTTAGTTTTGTAAATACCCATGTCTCTTAATTATACTGTCAAAGTCGTCGGTGGCCTAGTGGTTAGGCTCTGGGACTCGCAACCGTAAGGTCGTGGGTTCGAATCCCGTCAGGGGCCCGACGTTGTGTCCTTGGGAAAGGCACTTTGCACAAATTTTCCTCACTTCACCCAGGTGGAAATGGGTACCCGGCTATAGACAGTGAAAGATCTTGTCAGTTTGATAGTATTTGAGCGCGTGAAATCCGCAGCTTGCACTGTATGCTTCCTCGGAAGCTGAGAATGTTTCTGAGTGTTCTCAGAAGGTCTGCTGGGGTAATAATAGTTGTAAAGCGCATTGAGCATGCTCTTGAGCATGGATATGCGCTATATAAATGCAATTATTAACTACTTATTAAAGGAAATAAACTGCAATTAATACATTGTATTTGCTCTGAAGTAATGAGAAAGTTGCCCGACTTGCTGCCAGTGCTGGCATTCGTGATCATCATCTTTGTAATAATGTTAGTTTTACAATTCAAAGCTGCACAAAGGAGTTTCTTCATAGATATGCAAACCACAACAGAAAACTCACCAGCCATACATCCACGTGTCAAAAATAGGTGGTTGGTCCACCTGAGATCGGTATAGCTAAGAAAGAATGAAAACCAACAATCAAATGATATTTTGTCAGTATAGTTAGTTTATTTCATTATCTCGTTACTGTCAGTATCCATACACATTTTCAGCAACATGGCATTTTACTTTCTATTAAAACAAGAGGCCTCCAAATCTCTGTGCCTCTTTTGAAACAAGACTTTGAAAGATCTTATCCTTTCAACTTGTTAACGAAATTTCGAAAATGCAGAAAAAATCGCAGAGAAAGGTCAGCAGACATTTTCACAAGCAAAATAACAAGTAGAGCTGTAAAAAAAAAGGCACTTTTGATTTTCAGAACGTTGCAGAAATACATTATGAGGCAAAAGAAAAACACATTTGCCTTTTGGGCCAGTCAAAATGAAGTTTATCAAAACTTGAGATCAAAGAATGATGCTTCTGTATTCCCCCAGAGAAAAATTTGATTTCAAATTTAGATGTTCCCAAGCTTTTCATAATTAAAATAATCACAATATTTTCTAGTAATAGCGGAGGAACTACTTCATAGGCTGTTCAAAAGCTTCAATATTCAGCCACTTTGGACTCTTTTTGACTGGTCGCAAAGCATTTGAAAAAAGTATGGTACTACAATCACATCAAGAATAAGTTGATCAAAGTGAAGCAGTAATATCTTCAAGAAGATTGAGACAAGAAATGTTCTCTCATTTTACAGCATTGGTAAAATCATGAAAACAACTGAAAGGAATTAGAGCGGCAGATGGTTCCAGTAAAGCATCCTTTTGTCTTCCAGAAAGAAAAAATGCGAGAGAAAAATGACTTGTCCCAACCAGAATAAGATCGTTGAAGCAGAGCAGCAAGGCGTGCGAAAATGAAACCTGAGTAGATGAGTTTGTAGACATAGAAATGGTTTTAAAAATAACAACAAAACACCAAATAAAGCATTGTATGTGGTTAAAGGTGTAGCTGAGTTTTAAAGAACTAACTCTGCACTCTTACAATGAGTACAATGTATCGCAGTCAGAAATAAAAATACATACAGCGAGGAAAAAGCTGGGAGCAAACATACAAAAACCAAAAACCAAGGGCACCATTGAAACATGTGCTGAGAGCGAGACCTGAATTCAAGAGTCCACCAGAATATGGTCATACAATGTATTTTTAAAAAAGTATGATAGTAGGTAGAAAGAGCAGAACAGAATGAAAAAGTAGCCATCAGCCCATCTATGGCATCTTCCTACTATCCCAACATGAGATTGGAGGAAACACAAATCTCAAGAAGCTTCAAAAAGATCAAACTTGAAAACAAAAACAGCTGGTGGGAAAAGGAGAAAACAGATCTTATGAAAGATATCTCAGTAAGACATATTTGCAGCTAAGTTTACTTTTTGTCCTTACAAGGAGAGAACGACTTCTAGACTTCATTTGTGACAAAAAGCTAGAGCTCCAGACCAATGTGATTCTAGTTTGTTCACTTCTGTCTGTCGGCTGTTAAAATGGGATAAAAACAAATCATTCCATTTAATCTTCTCATGTCTTGCCAAATGGGTTTAAAAGTTGGATGGCCAAGACAACCTAAAGCATTTTTGTAAACTGCTGTCTGCTTACCCTGAAATAAGGGGTCAGGGTGGTGTCATTGTCTCTAAATGAACAATTTGTTGGCTAGGTTATTGTGAATCATGTATTGTAATGATCCTGAGCACGCACCCAAAGGGCAGTGTTTATTAATATAGGGCAGAAATAAAGGAACTTTTCTATCGCTGGATCAAGATTTAAAAAAACAAACCTACAAATTTGTTTAGTCCCTGGCATAGAGGTGCAAATCAATAAATGAATTAACTTTTATTTTTTTAAAATGTGAACAGACGAAAGTCAACAATGTACTGTTCTGTAACTGACAGTATTCTCAACAACAAAATTATACAGTAAAAAGACAATTTAAAAAATAAATATATATGAAAGAGCCAAATAATTTCAAATATAAGCATGGAATACCTAAAATGCTCCATTACAATATTTAATAACAATTGAAATACTCAGTACACTATGTACATAATATTAATACTGTCACCAATGAAATAACTAGAAGCAACAGGTATTGGACAAGGGTGGGTTGGAGTAGCATGCATAAAACATTTTAAAAGAACTTGAACATTTTTAGATTTTTATTTTTAGAATTAGTGTTTCTATCTATATCATGAAGGCCATTTTCAATATAGTTAAGTAAAATTCACCGGCATCTGAGGTGTAATGGTTAGGCTCTTCTTTCTACAAGAACGCTGTGCCAACTCATCCCAAGTTGGCTCTGATAGGCAGAGTCGAAGCAACCTTTTCCTGAATGATTTAAACTGAGTTCAAGGGGGCTTAAAACATTAACCATAAATTACTACAAAAAGGAAAAGTCAACAGTGTTGCAAACAATGACTACATCAGAACAAACCAACAATTCTCACACAACACTACAAAGTTTTGAAATCGCATATATAGTATATAGAAATATATTTATACGAATTCTGAATGAAACAAGAGTCAGGAAAGCACTGCCAAATTTTCTTTCTTATCCTACAACAGAGACATAGAGATTATAAGAAAAAAAAAGAACTTTAAAAAAGATATTTTTATGATGTCCAAAACTGACAGAAGCAAACAATCAGGTGCAGTCTGCAGCTTAAATCTGAACACATTATAAAATACCTGTCAAACTTTTTAATTGACAGGGTATAGAATTCACCATTGTCAGCAACCCCTTCCAAAGAGTGTGAGTAACAATGACAAGGTACAATTTCATACTGAACATTAAATGTTCAGTATGAAATTGTACCTTGTCATTGTTACTCATTGGTTTGAAAAGACAAATATAATGAACACACACAATCTACAAATTCCCATTAAAAGGCAACAGCCCTAATGCATGCTGCACTACTGTAAAACAACTGTACTTGAAATTCTACAGGTAATAGGTTCTATGTCTTCAAAGCCTATTGAACAAGACTTTATCTCCACAAAATCATCCTGACTATAAAATGATCTAGATCTAGACCAACAATTAAGTATTCTTTGCCAGCAAAAAATAAAAAAACACTTCTTTTTTTAGAAAGAGTTTTACGGCACTTGCAACACAACAAGGTCATATAAGTGCTGAAGACTAGAACGGTTACAAGAGAGTAACAAACACAAAAAAGGAGGAGAGATAAGGACGATAGATGTTTGAAAACACTACTTCAAATTATAAAATAAACACACCTTGTTTAGTTCTTTTTTTCTTCTTCAAATTTCTGGGAAAACCAAGCAGGCTTTGGAAGTATATCAAGCATGCTTGAAGTGTTGCAAGATGAAAACATGAACTTCGTTATATTCAATTTCAACTGAACCAACAACAGAATATATCAACTCCCTCTCTTCTACTCCTTTTCTTGAACAAATATAAAGAAGGCAGCTCTGAGAGAATATAGGCTGACAAATATACACTTTTTCTAAAACTTTCCTTTTTCTACCCTTAAAATAACATATTTTGGACGATATAATGTCGGGTGACAGGTATGCATTTTTGCCTAGACAAAATGTCTGAGTAAAGAGAAAGCGAACAGTATCTTGTTAACTTCATTACACATTCATTGTCAAAGGCTTAACACAAACTTTCTATCTAGTTAACTTACCAGCTGTTCTTATACTCCAATAAAGTAAAACTTAATTCCATTCCACCCAAAGTAGAGAGGAGATTTGAAATATATTCATAAATAAATGAAACCAAATACAGGTATGCATGTCTAACATGAACAATTTGCTAAAATAATGAGGTTATAAAAAAATCTACTAGGAGATGACAAAAACATTAAATACTAAAGTCCTACCACTATCTAAAGATGACTTTGATGGAATCAAGGTTATCAACTGCTCATTCAAAGACTGCCTCAAAACAGTCTGATGCCACCCCATAAGCAGGCCTCATAAAAACCAGTCAATAAGGAATCATATCAAGAAGAAGGAAAAGTAAACAGGAGCAAAAGAGAAACTGTGGAAACAAAAAAGCACAGACAGAAGTTCCAACAAGTCTATCCTTCATTAGTTTCTGGAAGTTGGCAGAGGACTGGCAGGGTAGGCAGAAAGTCATGAATCATGACCCACAGACGAGGTGAAACCAGTGTGAGTGAGAGAGATGAGCATTAAGGTTTACAAAAATGGCACATAATAAGTAGATGCAAACTCAAGGCTCACATAACATGTACTAGATCTTTTGTACAAAGAGAAATTACTTCATAACTTACAGCCCAATCACCATTATCAAGTGCCAGATCTGATACAGACATCTGCTGGCAGGGTTTCCCCACTCATTTCTTAGCTTAGATACTCTTTAAAAAAACCTGCCTGATCTTTCCCTATCACTCATCTTTTCAGGTTCTCTAAGTAAGCTGTTGTTGCTTCACCTCAGCCTCTTTTATTTTCTATTTTTCAAATGAGAGCCAGGCATTTATGTTCATGCAAGTGCCCCAGAGACTACATTTGTCTTTTCCAAATTATTTATAAAAGTGAGAACCCCAAGCGAGCTTCTTTCAACACTACTTCATTTGATTTTTCCTTTCATGAAATTCTCAACAATCTCCAAAGAGACCACATTCTGTTGTCAGGAACAAAGTGAAAATGTGCTTTAGAAATCTCTGGTAATAAACCTTTTCCCATTCTTTCCATTAATGTTTACAGTAAAAATTTAGCAAAATGATTAATCAGGCTTATTGTTCAATGCATCTCAGCAGCATAAACAATGAAACAAAAACATTTTACACTGCCATTATGAGTATGTCAAGGGTCAGTATCTGTTTATACTGCAAAGACAAGCACAATACTTTTAAAGCAATATTCTGGAGCTGCCAGCTTTATACTTATTTCAAAAGCTTTTTAAAAAAAACAACAACTAAGGTCTATGACAACCAGCACAAATCAGTAAGATAAGCTCCGTTAAAAATCAAACATCTTGTTTGTTTTGTTTTAGTAGACGTTTTACGGCACTCACAACTGCATAAGATCAAATATCTGAAGCCTCACGTCGCTTCAGAGGTTTGTTTTTATTGTGCACTTCAAGCATTTTCTTTCAAATATTCCACTGAATACAGACAATGTCAGTTTTCAGTAAAAATCCAATACTTCTGTTGCACATGCAAGCCAAAAGACGAAATTTAAGAAAAAAGGGTGGCATTAAGAGCATGTGTCAGTAGAAGACTGAATGGACTAGGAGACATGCGTCATCTCAAGATTCAGAAAATGTTAAATGTGAAAACAAGCAGGGAATATTTTGCAGTTTTCAGATCGTGGAAAAGGCAAACTCTCACTTACATGTAGAAAGTGTGTGGCTGAAGGTGCCAGAAAAGGTGCATGTTCCTTTTCAATTCGGAAAAAAATCAAAGAAAACAAATTCAAAGTCGCTACATTATTTACAAAATGGGCATGAAGCTATGAGGCTACAATGTTCAATTTTAAGAATATCTCCATAGTACCTCAAAGTTACTGCAGTATTTCGAGTAAAGCGTGGTATATGATCAAGATAATGCTGCTGAACATAACAACACATTTTCAAATAATAAGGTTTCACCAAGCACCACTTCAACTTCAGCCACAATCTCTCATTTATGAGATATGAAAAAAAACAACAACCCCTCTTTAGGAGGACAGGGAACACATTCTTATACCAGAAATACAAAAAATAAAATTATAGTTGTTTACATACATGTTCTCTCAACATAATACTAAAACAATATCAATAAACCAATAAAAAGACATCCAGGTCTACAGGTGCATGCACATAGGCATCCTCAAATAATCACACATATACATGAACAGGGGCATACACAAATCAGGAAAGATACACATACTGAAAAACATCCATTATATAACTAAAGACAGAGAGCACACAGCAAAACAAATACAACTTTTTAAAAAGAGTTTTAAAAAATAATTAAACCGATTAACTACAAATTTGGAATGAAATGTACATGGCATATTATGGTAGGCACTTGAAGTACTTGCTGACATTTGCATTTACTTTAAACAGGTTCCTTTTTACTCCACTGTCATCAGGCTTTCAACTTGTGAGGCAGAACAACAAAACAAGGAGAAAAGAAAGAGTGAATACCATCCACTATGAAAAGTATTTCTTTATTCTTTCTTCCTTTTTTATCAGTCTCCTAAACTTCATCGACACCCTATAAGCACTGAATAAATTCTAGAAAACAAAAATATATTCAAAATAAGCATCAAACATGAAAAATTCACAAAACAACAAGCAAAAAGACTTTTCTTCAGCCCAGATGCTCTAGTTTCTTCATCACACAGAGGTTTTCAAAAACGGCATAAAATTGTAAAATGACACCCATATATTTGCATGTCAACAGCATCAGAATCATCTTCAAGCAGGTGATGATCTGGTAGTTTCAAAAATAGATATATTGTAGTGAATTCCCTACACACTTCATCTATAGGAAAATTTAGTACATACTTTGTTGAGTAAAAGTAAAGCACAACAACACAACCGTGATCGGAAAAAATACCTGGAAACAACCTAAATAATGAATGGGACTAAACTATAATCTTTCATCAACTGTAAACACAAACTGATGAAAGATTAGAAAAAAACAAAAGAGAGCTTGGACTCGGAAAAACAAAAACAGACAAACGATTTAAACGTCAGCATTAACAGAAAACTAAAAACTACCCTTTATAAAAATAATAATATCAATCTTAGAAAAAGTATCTAAAAAGCCCCAAAACAAAAAACTTACTATCAATAATATCATTCATTAACAATAAATATCTGTACAGCCTTACAAGCATGGTCTACAGAATTTATAATCTCCCACATCCTATACTTTTTTCCTTTCACACATTTTCTCGCCCTTTTCCTTTCTCTCTTATATACACTGTCATGCGAGTAACTGATAACTATCTAATGTTTTCCAGACTAATTAAAGTATCAGTTACCAGACTACTGCAATCAAGCACCTACGATTTCAAGAAAAACATCAGTATGTGTGTGTGGGCGTAGTTCCTTTTGTGTCATCAAAAAAGTAAAGACAATTTCACTAAACTTCTTTGGAAATATGTGTCCAAAAAATATAACTAGGTTGTCACTTCACAAGGGGGGACGGGGGGGGGGGGGGGGTTACTAAACAAAGTCAACAAAGGAACAAGCCAACATGCCTAAACGTGACAAGAGCAGATCAAACTACTGTCACAGCCACATCTCTGGAATGTCTATCTACGAATCTACGCGTACACACTTACTTTTCAATATGCTGAACCATTCATTCCCTTTCCCCAACTTTCAGATTTTCTGACATAGTGTGCAACACTTTGCCCCAGGCTTTTGGTCACATTATGATGAGTTATCAAGATGAATAATTTTCAGAAACAATCCTCTCCATGTTTTACGAAGATTTAAATCAGTATGTATGGTAATTTTTTTATATTAAAAAAAAAATGTCCATTCTTCTGTTCCCATGGATCATGCCATTGACGAGTAATCATTTAGTACGAAGAATCATACTTCATAATGAAACTAAAAGCATAATCGCTTTCTGACAATCAGCATAAAGTATAAAGGCCTCATTCATTCGTAAAGTTTACAAAAGAAGATCCCTACCCCGTCTAAAATGAATGAGGAAATTAATAAGGTCCACATGCTGTTCAACCACTCTGTTAATTTGTTAAAAAATTGTGCCTACATTATGCATCCTTTTTGCTGGTTTCAACATTTAGAATTAGAATTTTGACAAAATATTTCTTCAGCAAATGCAACCAATACCACAAATTAAAAATTTGCAATTTTAAAAAAATTCGAATTTTGAGTTAAGCACAACTAAACCAGCAGGCCAACAATAATTTTACTATATTTACTTCATTCACAGAGCAAAAGGAACAGTTCATCATGGAAATATGTGTAGTGAAAATGCGCAGGCTTTAATGCCTATATTTGCATGAATTTGCCAAAATATGATGTTGTTCTTCTTCCCAAAAAGACATTGGCAAAATTCATGCTGTTTGAGAAAACAATAATAAAATGCTCTAAACTAACTCCAGAAAAACACTAAATTTGACTGTCATAGAAGAGCATCATTCTTTTTCATCTATCTTCCAATTTCAATAAGTTTTCCATCTTATTTTTCATTGAAAAGGGGAAAACAAACATAAGCATAATCATTTCAAAAGCAACAACAGTGAAGGACAAGGAATGCTTTGTGATCTCACATCACATCGCAGAAGCAGCAACAAAACAAAAACAGCAAGAACAAAACCATAATCCTAGATAATAAAGAGAAATTAACGAAAATTACAAAAAAACAAAATGAATTAAAAAAAAAAGAATAAATACAAAATTGCACTTTAATGTTGAGTAGTTGTTTCACACATCTAGTTCCTCCTTGAAAGACGTTTGAAGAGTGTCATTTCCGCTAGTACTTGATTCTGCAGCATCAAAAGCACTCGATCCAGACGCTCCTTCCTGTTTTGGTTTGTAACTGCGCATTTCTCTTTCATACCTTTCTTTCTCTCGTTCATACATGTCATAGTAGATCTGGGGAAAACATTTTTAAGATAGGAAATTACACCAACATTTGCTTTCGTTTTCTGGAAACACATGAATAAATAATGTTCATCTCTCTTACCCTATCATTCTCTTTAGAATAATACAATCAACAACAGAACTGCCTCACCAGTCTCATCCATTTAAATGTTCACATAATCATTCTTGACCGTAGTGCTCTTACAGATGAGAACACAGAGTTGCACAAACCTAAAGTTAATCAAAGATTGGCAATCCTTGGACAAAAATCCGTGCACAATATATAACAAATATGTTTGACAGGCTCAGGCATTCCAGGGCAGGATAGCGGATTGTGTACCATGAGCGGGCTGGAGTAAAAAAAAAGGGTTTTTTTTGCGCCACCAACAGGAGAGGTAACATTCCCACTGGTATGGTGCCCTTCACATACCACATCTTCTCAGGTATAGGGATAGCATCTTTTGCCCATCCTTACTTTTGTTTTCTGTCCAATCCCGTTTTGTGCCGATCTATCAACCGAAGGTGGTCCAGTCTAAAAAAAATTGGTGCCTAAATCCCTACAGCATGAGGCCCACTTTTGAAATCATCTGCCAATGTTTATTCAGGTGTTAACACCCCCACCCCACCCCTACCCGGCAAAAGGTAAGATTGCCCAGTCTCTTGAACAACAGATCAAAGAGAAGCCCTATATAGAAACAAAACACGTACCACTGAAATGCCTGATGGGGCGAAAAGTGGACATTCCATTACAATGCTGACAGATAATAAACAACAACTTAAAAACACAAACAATACAAGGGACAGGAAGAAAAACAAACCCTGTCTGACCCTTTAAGTTCAATTATTAAAAAGAATCTTAAAGCTATTTAAGCACTTTTCTTCTGCAGTGAGGTTAAGTATACAGCTAAAAAAGGAAAAATCTCAGACTTTATCACCATGAGCCAAACACTTGATCTATATCAGTACAGTCCGCGCTGGCTTTAAGCACGCCGGCATAAAGCATGTTTTGGACTCAAGCACGCTAAACAACTCTTACCGAATTTTTGCTATATAAGTTACACGCCTTTCAGTACGGTAACTTCGGCTTTAGGCACGCTTCATTTACAAGACAATCAATACTTTCATGATGACCCATCGAAGTTCGAACACAGTCTACACCGCAGCAGTGAGTGTGTTAAGAGAAACACAAAGAACGCAAGACACGGAGAAACACACTCACACGCGCCGAGAGGAAGGCAGAGAGATGCACACAGCCGTGCGCGTGGACATAGGATCTAGCCTTTGGCAAAGCTACACATAGACGAAAAAAATACAAAGAGAGTCGGCGAAACGAAAAAGGGAGGCTGGCTGCGATTTCACCTTTGACCATCACCATCAATTAATCCTGATTGTGTATCACGCGCGAGGTGGGATGAAGGCGGTGTTATGAATGTGGCACAGCCGGCAGTGGTACGCACAGGCAGTGTGTAAGCCTAGTGTGCTGTATCGTGACTGGCCGTCTAAATTAAGTTTTCATTTACCATTCGACCACAAAACAAAAACAAGCAAACAAAAACTACCATGGTGGGTAAAAATAAGAGTGCACACTTTTGCGGGGCCGCTATAGGCCTACTTACAAACAAAGGGAAATAGCACGCGAAATTTTCTACATGAAAATCTCTGGATTATATCTACTTCGCACTCAAGCACACTTCGGCATTAAGCACGCTTAAGCTTTCTCCCAATGACCATGCTTAAAGCCGGCATGGACTGTACCTATCTAATGTGCACAATAGTAAATATTTCCCACTTATCACCTTATAACCAAATCCTTCATACTACTCACCCTCTTCTCCTCTGGAACAAGAGCGTTCCACTGCTGGGCCAGGGTTTTTGTCAATTCATGGTGAGCAATCTCCTCTTTATGTTCCTACAAATAGAGAATGGGTAGAATTACAACGTGATATACTATGGATGTGAAATCAGAAATGCAACATCACAGCAAACGTTGCATTGTAAAGACAAATAAGTAGGCCTACGAGGTATTTTCCACAAAGAAACACTTTGAAGGTAGAAATTTGTTCATGTGCTCACAAGTGATTTGGTGATCAACTAAACTTTCTTACCTCAACAATAACAATGATACAACCTGCATATCTAGGGATTAAATATTTAGATAATATCCTGCCAGTCAACAGTTGACCTTTTATATTTATTTTTTATGCAGTTCAATGACAAATGAGGAATCTCTATGTAACTATTTAAAATTGGCACCATCTGAAAATTAGGGATGGGCAGGTACTGGTACCCACTACCCGAACTCCCGGTTCTACCAAAGGAGGTGTCAGTACCAGCACCAGGCCTCCAGTACCAGCTCTGGGAAGGAGCTGACACCAGTGGTTTTTTACCGGGTCCCGGGAAGTGTGCAGTGTGTAGGCCAAGGCCTAGCAGCTGTGATGTCAGATGCATAATGCAGCGGGTGGCCTCTATACATGACTTCAGATTCAAAATTGAAAATCAAACACGAAGTTTGCTTAAGTTTAAATATGGTATCAAATCAGGTTACACGTGAGCCACTTTGCTTATTTTGATACGCAGATTCCGAAATTGAAATACATTTTTAGGGGTAATAATTATTTTTAAAATTCTATATGCAAAAGTATAATCCCACGCGGTAGCAAACTTCAAAGGGATTTTGCATCACAGCTTGCCTTTTCCAATTCGGACTTGTGTGAGTGAGGGGGGGGGGGATACGGGAGGCGCTGAACTTTGCACAAGATGCAGTCTCTCACCTCCTGGCGTCACTCCCAGTACTGGTACTGGCGGTTCACGACACCCTGTGCCAAGAAATGACCGGCACTGGGTTTCGTCGGTACCGCCCAGCACTACTGAAAATCCCCACATGCCCCACAAACCCAGCGAACTGACACTAAAAGTCATTGAAAAGACAGACAAACCCAACCTTAAGGAAGAAAATGGCCCACAAACTCAACTCCTTGAAGAGAATTATGGAATCACTGGGAAATCTTTTTTCTGGTAAGTGTTTTACAGCGCTCTCAACTGCATATGGTCATATGAGAGCGCGGGACACACCTAGACCTGCATGTGAGCCTCAACCAGATTGTTTGAAAACTTTGCGCAACCCCCCCCAAAAAAAGCCTTTGTGGGTGTCATAAGGAAGGACATCCGAGTAACGAGCGACCACCCCAAAAAACACAATAAAGAAGAGACCTAACCCTATCCCCAAAAAGAACCTGCAACGGGCCTCATGTAAAAAGGGCAAAACAAGTCCTAAATGAAAAAAAATAATTTTTTAATTAAAAAACCACACTCCAAAACAAACAAAGAGCATAGATCTAGATCTATATAGAATCTAGATCTAGATCTAGATCTAGATTCTATATGGCTTACATCTACATTGCTATAGGGCTTGATACAATAACACAATAGAATTGGAATATGAATCCTCGTAGTATATAGATCTAGATCTAGTAATCTAAATAAATCTAGATTTAGATCTTGTAGAACAAGTGAATAGGAACTTGAACTAGAAATCCGCATCTGATTCCAAACAGAGGGACTCAGCTGAGTCTAGATTCTAGATCTAAATAAATAAATAATTCATGCACCTGGTGAAATGCTTATTTTTGCCAATATTAATATTACAGCACAACCCATGATAGGGTTTGACACAATAGAATTGGAATATGAATCCTCCATTGAGGTCTATAATGATCTATATAAATATAGGTCTAGATCTAGATTCTATTAGAACAAGAGAGCCGGACTTGAATGAATCCACACGATCTGAACAATTGAATTAGTCAACAAACGAAATTCAAAATGGCCGCTCGAGCACGAAACTGAAAGTAGATAATTTAAGTTGTCGTCCTTTTTCGTATTCGCATTTCTACTTAGGTTCCGACAGGAGAAATAGGGGTCGCTGGCAGTCGGCCAGGCCTCGCACTACGCACATTGACTGATACAGGCGGCCAAGCGATAGCATCGGCTGGTTCGCGGGTCGGGTCGCGATTGTCGGATTTCAGACGATTGTCGGCAAACATGCAGGTCTAACACACCTAATACTTTTTAGTTGGTAGGAAATTTTGAATTTTACCCTGGTGGCGGCCGAAGCCTACTCTTATCGATTTTAGACCACCAAGGGATCTTTAACGTGCGCAACTTGCACACGGGCCCTCCGAGATTTTTCGCCCTTGTCTGAGAAGGCTAGGTGTAGATCTTTCCTACCAGAAGATCAGGGGTGTGGCAGAAAGACAGCTGTAAGAAGGAGTCAAGGAGTAGCAGTAGAAAGGCTGCAGAAAGAGTCAGGAGCCCAGAGGAGGGAGCAAATGAGGTGAGGGGGTGGGGGCAGAAAGAGGAGACGAAAGCAGACGATAGAATATTGCTAGAGAGCAGGAAAGGAGGTGAAAGGAGACAATTGTAGAGAGAAAATTTTTTGGTTGCTACCCGGATTCGAACCCGGGACCTTTGAATGAGAGGCCAACACCTTAACCTCTAGGCCACGAGAGCCCCCACTGGGAAATCTACAGCTATTCTCTCTCATCAAACGCAAATAAATATACACACTGCTTTAAACTAGAGATAGTAGAATTTTGGAAACCACGGTGAAGGCAAAACAAAATATGGACATCACAAATCAGAATGAAAGAAATATTTTTTTTTAAACCTATAGGAGTATAGAGAATTTGATACTTCGTAACTGTGGAAACTTCTGAAAACAAATACGCCTCCATGAAAATCAAGGTTCACTCACCTTGAAATACTCTTCTTGAACCGCTGTGCGTCGGGTTGTGCAGAACATCAAAAAGGCATTGGCAGGCTTTTTCGGAGCATTGGGATCTTTCTCTTTCTCAATCTTAACCTGATCAAGAATGGGCAACAATGAAAATAGTGGTTTCCATTACAATAAATAAATAATACACTTTAAATGTTCATTACACTTCTATGATATCTAATTTTTCTCACAAAATTAAAAGTAAATTATACAAACAAAATAATAATTTACTTCGGCCTCCCAGTCATCCTCACCTATAAAAGTAAAACCACTATTATCTCACACTCTGCAAACTGACTAAAGATTTGTTATTTGAACAATTACTTTCAGGCATCTGCTTTTTTTCACATTCAGATTCTAAAAAATTTTAATCCCCAAGAAACAGGGCTAGCATTGCTGAAAACAAAAATACCAAATGCTTCTTTGTGATGTAAAAATGTTAAAGTTTTCTAAAAACACTTCAAAATGATATGGCCTCAGTAAAAATGGAAAATAGACAGGTGGGAAAAAAAAGGGCTACTAGCTTGCAGAAAGAGGTCAAGTGGGAAGAGGCACATGTTAGTTTGAGGCAAGCAGACATTAGCTGTGTAGCCTGTCTTATAGCTATATTTATTTATACTATAATGCTCATTGTTTGTGAGCTACCTTTCTTGATTTGCTTGAGGAGTCCAACTGTCCTAAGCCATGGGCCTGAAGCAAAGGCTGGATGGAAGACAAGGCACTTTTGTGTTCTGGTCGACCTTGACCTTCCCCTTCAGAGTCAGAACCCGTGCCAGGAAAGTAAGACGTATTTCTCAAGTTACCAAACAGCTGATCCTCCTGTCAAATAAAAAAAACAAACCCAGTGTTACGAATTATGAATTCACCACAGGAAAAAGAAAAAGGCAAAAGAAAACAATTAAAATACCTAGTGAATGACACAGAGCTAGAATTAAGAGGGCGATTAGTAACAGAATGAAGGGAGGCAAATTGTCAGCTGACATAGCTTTCCAGGAGTCAACATGGTAACAGCTACATTTCACTAGCAACCGACTTGGGGACAATACTAACAAAAAGTAGAACAAGCAGACACACTAGAATGCTGATAAACCATTCTCAAACACTTACCTTCTTTTGCCAACTTATAATGTGACATGAGTAAAAAAATTAAGAGAACTTTTGATTTTCCTGCACGAAAGTCCTTAACAAACCCCTAAACAAAAAAATTCACCAGGAAAAAGTTCAACAGCAACCTAAGATGGTTTTCAAATTTCTATACCATGAACTGTCAAGACTGAATATGCACTATAGTATAATTTCTGTAATACAACAAACATTAGAAAAATTCAAAACCATGTCACAATTAATTATGTAATAAAAAAATTAAAATATAAACAGAATTTATAAATATCTTAAAACTTAAAATTGACCTCTTGCACCTACCTCCCACATTAAAGGTACTTGCACATCTCTGTAGTTATCACCATGTTCATCAAGTCTTGAACTCAGATACCTTTGTAGGCGAAATAAAAGATAGTATGCAAAATCATTACAGACAAGACATCAGATTTTTAAAAATCATGAGGGACAAATTAATTCTGATGAGTATAGATTAGCAACGGAACAGACAGTTCTTCAGACATTGCTGTGAAGGTATAACCAGTCAAAATTACCAAATGGCCGCTGGATCAGTAAAGTAAAGTAAAGTACCAAGAGAAAAGTCATAAAACTCAACAAATGGTTCATGTGAAGCAAAATTTTAAAACGGTAATCAAGAAAATATATAACCAGAATCTAATTTAACAAACGTTTGACAACAAGCGAACAGATAGGAAGAAAATTTGTGCTATGGGAAAATAGGGTACAAAGTTAAAGTGCCAATAAAGGCAGCAAGACAAATATCTTTTAATTTTGCACACTGCAGGGGTTGGATTTGGTAGCTGTACTGACAATTTTTTCCTGCCACTGATTGGGTAATTAAAGTCAAGAGAAGACTTCAGAATTCATTCTGGCATTTTACTTGAACACTTTCTACCCACACAGCGCACAGAGCGCGCAACACTTGTCCCCGCATACAAGGATGCAGACGCGGTACATCAGTACTTCATCTGTATCTTAGCAAAAATACCGCAACCATTATTAAAATTTCAGCATACTGAGAAAATTAAAAGTGATGATCGCATGTTCACCAAAAAAGGAATTGGAAGGCGTTATAGGGAGTCGACTGCCAATTTAATCAGTTGATGTTATTCAGAGTCACAAAACCGCAATTCTTTTTTTTACCTCGAAGAGTTTTGTCGAGGCTCCTTCGCAAAATTACAAAAGCTGATTCGATCGGCTTAAAAAAAAAGATAAACATAAGTTAATTTCTGAGTCGAGTCTACCTCTTTTACATAAAAGGGAGGACTTCCGTAGTTTGAGTTGCCACTATGGACAAGCGTGGCTTTCTCCATACTGGTCTACCTTTGTTTTGTTTTTTCCGTGCACGGTAAGGGAAGATAAGAAAAAACAAATATCTAATTCATTTCGAACGTGTTTTGAACAGAAGAAAAAAAAAAAAAAGATTGTAACACTAAAATTACCTTTATCAGGGGGGCAAGCTCCCCCCACTGTGACAGATCAAGAGGGCAATGCCCCCCCAACTATCTCAAAAGAAAAGAAAAGAAAACTAACCCTAATCCCACTCAAACTAATCACTGACTTATAATCACAAAAATTACAGAAATTACTCCCCCCCCAATCTCATAATAATAGGAAAGACTTCCATAACAAGCGACCACCTCAACAAACACAATAAAGAAGAAACCTAACCCTAACCCAACCCCAAACCCTACCCTTACCTCTACCCCTTACCCTCAACAAACCCAATAAAGAAAAGACCCAACCCCTACCCCTGATCTAACCCTTAACCCTACCCCTAAAAATACGCAAACCACCATAATTTTGTCATGACTAAGTCGGATGTAATCTCTGATTCCTAATAGCATCAAGCGATTTTTTAAATGGAAGTCGACTCCTAATAATGCCAATTGGAACTGAAAACATTAGATCTAGCTCATTCTTCACCCGAATTCTCATTCATCATGGCTTTAGAGTAAATCAACACTCATGCTAGGTCTACTCCACATTTTAAAAAAAAATTTACTCCAATTGTTGTGCATACAAACTGATTTTCGACCTCCAACGCCACACAAACGATTCAGACAGAAAATCTAACTAAAACAAGTGCACATATCAAAAACTAGATCATTGCTTCAACGTTTTTGTGGCAATATCACATTGTCGCCAATCAGCGTCCAATGTGGAAGAGGGCCGGTTTCTTACCGTCGCCGATCGGTTTTCCGTGGTGGCAGAGTGTTAAGTTCATATTCTTTGAAGTTAGTGCCCTTGGAGAAAAGAAAAAGCTCATTCTGATGATAAAGGAAACCTTTGATGGGGCCCTTCAAATTGTTCAATATTGTATCTCATTAAATGGTGAAGCACAAAGCCAGTGAGTGTGAGCTCTGCCCCTTTTTAATTAATTCAGTGATAATTGGAAAGAGACCTCTTGTCTGAGTATAACACGCTCCCACACTATCTTGACCAAAAATTTCACAAACAAGTAAACCTTCCAAGTGGCATACTTCAGTTTTCATCTTTTGTCAGCAAAAACTACCAACCACAGTTTACGAAAACACTTGCAATTGCTCAAGGAGTACAGCAGCAGACTGAGAAGATGTTAGCTTACTGTAACCCGCAAACTGAAGACTTTGGATAATTACCTTTTATCTCTTTTATAACGCTTGATCAGCTTTTTTGCATGCTGTATCCTGTTCACCATCTTTTCATTTGACTGGGGAAAAAAACAACAAAAGTATGGGGCAGTTGTGAGGCGTCTTAAATCTACATGATGGCAATAAAAAGGCTCACTTATATCATAAACAAAAGGGGAAATTTAATTTAAATATAAATAGCCGGCACATTAGAAATTTGTTAACTTGAATTAAAAGATTTAATGAGAGACAAAAAAACTGTCTATTCAACATTGTTTAATGTTAACCCTTAAGCCATCAAATTTTCTCAATGCATTCTGGCAGGCCTTAGAGGCAAAATCCTGCAAATAATTTATATGTGCTTTACCTCAGCAAAATTATTACACAATCTAAGTTGGTAAAAAAATATCCTTTGGTTAGCGAGGTTCAAATTTGGTTGCTCTAAACTGTTTTTACTATCTTTGGGTTTGTCTTTAACAGTGCATTTGACATGCCCTGTATCCCTTTATGATGTCCTGATGTCCGACTAGTGAGCTACTAAACATTTAATGAGGGTGAAAATTTCTTAGTCCTTCAACACATCAATTGAAATCGATACTGATCACAAGGAAGAAGATAGGCAAAGTTCACTGACTCGATTTGATCGACCAGTGCGCCTTATAACCTCACTATAGTAACACATCAGACATGTCCTAGCCTTGTGGTGGATGGCTGACAGCGAGGTTCACGCAGAATTTAGGGCCAAAAGTGCATTCCAGCATTTGTAGTTTGGCTCAGGATTAAAAGTCAAGATGCCGCTAACATATTGTGTATCAAGGTTTCAGGTCTGATTTATATAACCTAACTAAATCTAGTAGTGTATTAAATCCAGCCAATCTCTGATTTCTCTCACGCATTCCCTTTAGACTTAGAATCTCAACTCTCGGACTCAGAAGTGAAAGCTCATACTCATGGACTCATGAAGGCCATGGCTCATAGTCATCATGACACATGACTAAACGTAGAACAACTCAAACTATTTTCAGGTAAAGCGGCCATCTTGTGTGACGTCAGACCGCGACTGGGATAGCCCTCAGATCACGTGACTACATCTAAATATAGCCAACCGCAAGGCACCACGTTTTGGTGCTATGTTTTTCCAGGAATACTGTTAATGTGATATATGCGGTGCTCCGATGGAAAATGAATCAAACCTGTCAATGTCTCAATGAATGAAATTGTCGACATTATAAAACGAGAGGTTTGTGTCACTACCGGAATTCCGAAATATTAACATACCGGAAACCTTGTAACCAATCAGAACATGGCTGACGGGCTGCATTAGCCACAAGTGTGAAATTTCACAGTGCGAAACAAATCGATATGGATAATACGTCAAGCTACTGACCCAACATGTCGTTCCATGCGATATCTCCACAGCCTTCTAAAAATAGTCTGGGGGTATCCCAGGATGTAATGAAATCACGTGACTAAAATTAGCAGCCAATCAGGCAGGTGCGTCGTTCTACGTTTAGCTGTATGTATCATGACTTCACACAAGCAAAAATATGAGTCCATAATAAACTACAGGCAACCTCTATTCTCACCCGTTGTGCGTTCACCGTGATACCAGTGTAAACAAACTTTCTAGTGCTCTTGTTGTTGAAAGCGTGCAATTTTGTATGCGGGCAGTGAAACAATATGGCAACCGGCGTAGTTCGGCTTGATTCGAAATATGAAATAGCCGTAGCATCTTTGTAGACGATCAAATGAGTTTACTTGGCTATTATCTATAACATCATTATCATTTTTTTCTTCGTTTTGTCAATTTGATTATCCACACTGATAGAAAGGGGAACCAGTGAACTCGTCACAAGGTGAAGTCGTCACAGATGAAAAATGTGTGGCGAGTTCACCTGAAAAAAGTATCCAAATAACAGTGAACGGCACTCTTCAGGAGAAGTGGTCCCGACCTAATGCCTTATAAATTCATATAACATAGATCTATTCACAATCAGAAACAAAAACCGAAGTGAAGTACAAAAAGGCTGGCGTAAAAATGGGTTTGGGTCTTTTTTATAAATTTACCATAGTCTGTCTTCCTCCTTTTCTGAGCTTTTTTTCCCTTTAAATCTGATAGAAGGCCTAACTCTTGCTTCCCCCCTTGTCGAATTTGCACCAGCTTTAAGACTAAGAGTGAAAAGTACGGGGAGACAGAGTTTTCTGGAGCTTTTTAACTAAAAATAGAAACAAGTGGAAGCCTAGGAAGCACAGTTGTAGATAGAATAAAATGTGCAACGCAACGACACATGGGTCAAATGATACGCAAAAACCAAGTCTAGGTTGAGGCTGCGTTGAAGTTGCCCCGTGGCCAAATTTGACCTAACCTATATGACGACATAACTATGACAAGATCACCGGAGGTATGTGACGACTTCACCATGTGACGAGGTCACTGGTGTCCGATAGAAAATTGGCTTATATTCAAAAATGAGGAAAAACAGGCCTTGGGTTTCACACCCAGAGAGAATAGCAACGCTGGCAAGTCTAACCCAGGGTGAGAGGTCGATCGCATTTTTGTTCTCATCTCGGGTGAGAATAGCCACTTCCTAAACTATAATAAACCATAGCATGGCATCGATCGTCAAGGAAAACCCCAACATAGACTCAACACTAGAGACTAGAGCGGCCATAGAGCCTAATAATTAATACAGAGATAAAAGTAATTGCACCCCAAACTCTAATCTAAATACTACCATTAAAACATAAAATATAATATTTAGAAATCTAAATATAGATATAGAGCTTTATATATATATTATATTCCATTAAAATATTATGTTAACTACACTAGTCTACACCAACCAGCCAACGACGTTAAAAAAACAAAAACAAAAACAAGCCTCTTCTTGCTCTGCCAACTTTTGTCTTTCACTGGCATTTCCAGAGAAGCAAAACCCTTTAAACTGTTAACAAATATACCTGTTGAATTTGCTCGCATCTTTTACGCAATGCAAAGTACTTCTTCAAAAAAGAAGTCTCTTTCGATATCACTTCAAGCTGGGCTTTCAGATTGGCAGTATCCTCTGGTTCCACCATCTTGACCGGAAGTACTTCTGACTTCTACCGGGATTATTTCCCCCAACGCAAACAAGCTCCAAAGTATCGCAATTTTACGTTCACTTTAGATCTCTAAAATTAATATTTGTATTTCTGTTTTATCAGTCTGTTCTTCCCTTTCACTTTCAGGGACTATCTGTGGTTCCTCAAATGAAATGATTGCAATCTTGGCGGTGATACTGGTGATGATGGTGGTATCAATGCTTTTGTCGATGACGATGGCGATTACCGAGACACTTTTTAGAAAGACACCAGATGTATTCAAGGTTCACATTCTAGTGCTATGCCTGTACGCTTCACGTGACACCAAGAGATAGATCTATCATTCAAATTTAGGCCTATTTAGCTTTCAGTAATCACCATAGACCCCTTGTTAAATAAATAAATGCCCCCCCCCCCCCCAATCCCCTGGGACAGTGCTACTGACTGAAGTGTCTTCAGGCCATTCCCAAGGGGGTGGGGGTGGGGGGGACATTATACCTATTCTTATGCACAGTAGAATTGTAAATGGGCTGATTCATCGATGTCATGCTCATAACTGTGCCTGAACTGCAACAGGGAACTGCTGCTTTTTCTTTCCTATTCCTTACTATCCTCATTTCCCCTCTACTTCTTTTGTATGTTTGTCACACTCTTGGGACCCGCTATTCCCGCGGTGCCTTTGATATTAATTGATAGTCGAAGCAGTTTTGCTGTTGAAGCTGGAGAGATGAGCAGAGTAAGTCTGATTCCCAGTAAAGACATCTCTGTTGACATCCACTCCTTGACGCTCATATGACCTTATGCAGTTGCGAGCGTCGTAAAACCTCTACTAAAACTAAAATAAATAAATAAATAAGATAGGCCTATACGCGAGCTTTGCGTCCCAACATTAGCTTATCTAGTTTGAGGTCGAGGATGAGCCAAGTACCTAATTAGTAGAATAGCGCTCGTCTCCGAAGCGGAAAGTCCGGGTTCGAGCCTCGGTTCGCACAGGGATATTTTTCGCCCCCTCCTGCTGCCCACCCCAGTAATGGGTAGGCTTACTTGTCTTCGAGTTGGGGAAAGTAAAGGCGGCGTGGAAAGGAACTGGCCACCCTACCACAATATGCCGACGGCCCAGGAAGTTGTCTCACTAACAAGGCAATCCTCAATGTCCGGATCGGATGCGGGAACAACTTTACTTTACCTTCGAATAAGAAAAATTAATATTTTTAACCTCCTCAGTTTGAAAAGAAAGAAGTACATGGACACAACTAAACGGTCATTATTTTAGTGCAATGAAGTAAAGCATAATGGATAGAAACAATACAGAGACAGTGTAACATTAGTTTTATTGTTGAGTTGTAGTTTAGTCATACATAGTCTAGTCTGTCGTTGGTCAGGCCTGAGTTTATTCATTTATTACATTTTTATGCATTTACTTATTTCTTCATTTATTTTTTCATTTGTCTTCTTCTTCTGCTTCTGCTTCTTCTTCTTCTTCTTCTTCTTCTTCTTCTTCTTCTTCTTCTTCTTCTTCT